ATCAATTTTGCAGTAAAAGCAAAATTGATCTTACAGCGCTGAGGACCTAGGATAAGTGAATAATTAAAAACACTGAATGTCAAATATTTCATAGATATTACCTCGAATCCTCACGACTGGTTCGCAAACAGGTCTTTTGGTTTGTCGGTCTCACTTTCGTTTGCAATGAATTTTAATTATAATAGAATTTTAATTATTATTTAGGAAAAAAAGAAACTAGCACTCAAACACATTTATGGAACAAATCAAAACAAAAAAACCTGCAATATGAGAAATGTCATTTTAATTTGTTTTGTTATAATTTTCGTTTGATCGCCAAAAGTTGCAGTGAGTAATAAGAGAAGCTGAGAATGCAGCGTAAACATTGCAAGGTAAGAGAATCAATAACAAAATAATGGAAAGCTTTCGTGAGTCTCGAAGTAGAAGACATTAATTAAGTGCATTGACCGTGAAACGGCGGATTAAAAAAGTATGAGTTAAGCAGTTAGAAAAAAAAGCAAATAAAAGGGGCATTCGAAGGATCTTCGGTCTTCTTGGTTGAGTTTTCGTGAACGGAACGGGCAGAATGTATGACAGAGTTTAACTTCAGTGATCCGCAAAGAAATACATAAGAAAAAAAGTAAAAAAAAATATATATGAAACTCTTATCGGAAACGGTGTGAAGTTGTTAATATATAAATTTATACTCTGGAACAGTGTTTTATACCATAACTATCAAGTATTTTAAATAAAAAAAAATTATATATTTCAATAATCTCTATCCAATGAACGTTTTTTTTTTAATACCAATAAATCAAGTATCGAATGCATTGAATGTGATAAAATTCAAACTGATACCTGGAACAGCAACGGTGACGGCAACAGTAGCAGTGACGCGAGCGTTAACAACAATAAGGCATAAATTGCCAGAATAGCAATAATAACTAAATAAATTACTTAAATGAAGTGTTTAAAGAAATTCAAATATATTACTAACTAAATTATAAATACGAAAACTAAACAATAGAAAAGAGTTAACATCTAATAATTTTTATATTTCAATAATATATATGAAATGAACTTTTTTTAAATATCAATAAATCAATTATCGAATGCATTGAATGTGATAAAATCAAACTGACACCTGGGACAGCAACGGCGGCGGCAACAGTAGCAGTGGCGCGAACGTTAATAACAATAAGGCATCAATTGCCAGAATAGCAATAATAACTAAATGAATTACTTAGTGCATTAATTATCTACATACTTAGTTTTTTTTTGAAGTATTATTTAATTTTCTAAGAATATCCATGATAGATAAATATAATTATTTGAAACATGTTAAATCGTGTAATGTTTTTTTTTTATAATTATTTGTAATTTAATTTGGCCTATTAAATTTTTGGTTGTTGAGTTTTTTTGTACTGAACCCTGGTATACGCTGAGTATACCCCGGCCGCGGTAGAGGCCGGAAAGGTCGTTACAAATGGCGCCCGAGCAGGGACCGACTTGCAAGCTAATGTGACCACAGAATAAAACTAGAATCAAGACGAAGAAACAAAATAAATGCACCATGTCGATCATTGCTTCATCGTATGGTCAAATCATAGACCAGATATGTGAATGGCCTGTAAGGTACAACGGAGAGAGGGATCCATTAGAGTTTGTGAAAAGAATCGAAGAACTAGCCGACCTCAATCACATCGATATGAATCTAGTTGTCAGCACGATGCCCGTACTGCTTGAAGATAAAGGACTGTTGTGGTACCGCAACAACAATAACCGTTGGAATCTCTGGTCAAGCTTCAAGGCAGACTTTTTAAAATTTTTCCGTCCACATGGATATTTTGAAAGAATGGAAGAACTTCGTACAGAGCAAGTTAAAACAAGTCGAAGTCAGGTACAGGAAGCGAACAGCAATCGCCTGATAATTGAGCATCCAGAAACGATGCCATTACTAAATACCACCAAATGCGTACCAACTACAGAAACAGGGAAGAACGTTACTTACAGTGTGAATCTGAAGCCACATGGGCTACAAAATAAGAAAAGTTACCAGCAACAAAATAATTCTAAAGTTAAGCAAACAACAACACAAATAGATAGCATTACAACGTCAAAGACACCACTACTATCCAAGTCGAGCATGATACCAAGCATGCAAAGTCAAACTTACCCAGTGCGACACTCAGTAACACCGCTAGAAAATATACAAGAGCAAACCTCAAGTAAATACCTCGTAGTACCATTGCAACATCCCAGACCTATTGAAGAGTTACAAATTCCAACATAAGAAGTACAACATCTGCGTTGTTCGAAACTCATCAAAGAAAATTCGAAAGTACAACCACAGCAAGGATTACAAACCGTTACGCCAGTCGAAGAAAACCCTCATGTGCAAGATGCACAAACACAACAGTTTAAAGAAAAACCACTGATTACATCATTGACCGAATTAAAGGCACAAGTTGTAACACGAGAAGTACAACCACAACCCGTCGAAGAAAGTCCGCAGGTGCTAGACACACAACCGCAACGGGATCCTCATTTTCACGAAGAACAACCGATCACACCATCGAGCGAATCACAGATAAGAGATATTCCAGTACAACAAGATCGACAGAAGATTACAGTCGTCATTACAAAAACAAGCCAGGTTCAACTGAAGCAAGCAGCACCAAGTTCTCCAGCATCACCAGGTCCTCAACGAATCTCGCTCATTCACGCCCTTCAACTAAAACAACTATCACAACAAGAGAAAGATCGTTCTATGCAGCCGGAAGAAATGTTGAATAATCCTCTAACACAAGCACGATGTCTCAGAATTCGAAATTCATCCAGCATTCAAAATCTGCCGAAACCAATTGATAATGTGGAGTTGATTCAGCAAAAAGGTTGTGTTCATTATAGCAAACGCCAAGACGAATTTTTCAAAGTATTTAAGTGTCCCAAGAAACGAAAAAGAAACTGTGCAAGCAGATAGGAATTTAGTTTTTTTCGCTTACCGAAAATAAGGAGGGAATGTAATGATCAATTTTGCAGTAAAAGCAAAATTGATCTTACAGCGCTGAGGACCTAGGATAAGTGAATAATTAAAAACACTGAATGTCAAATATTTCATAGATATTACCTCGAATCCTCACGACTGGTTCGCAAACAGGTCTTTTGGTTTGTCGGTCTCACTTTCGTTTGCAATGAATTTTAATTATAATAGAATTTTAATTATTATTTAGGAAAAAAAGAAACTAGCACTCAAACAGATTTATGGAACAAAAGAAAAAAATCAAAACAAAATAACAACGTGAGAAATGTCATTTTTAATTTGTTTTTTTACATTTTCGTTTGATCGCCAAAAATTTGCAACGGGAGATAGAAAAAGCTGAGTGTGCAGCGTAAACATCGCAAAGTGAAGAAAACCAACCAAACATCTGGTGAGGGGAAAGTTTGAGTGCATTGACCGCGAAACGGCTAATTGAAAAATCCGTTCTAGGCAGTTATAAAGAAATGAAATAAAAGGAGCAGTCGGAGGAGCTTCCTGTCTCTTTGGTTAGTTTTTTTGAAACGAAATGTATAAAACAAGTGACAGAGTTTTCCTTGGAGGGATTTGATTAGAAAAAAAATATAAATATCCAAGCATAAGTTTTTTTTTTCTGTTGTGGGCTCGGTTAAATATACTCGAAATAAGTGTTTTGTGCGGTAATTTGAATATTTAACACTACATATACCAGGTGAAATCAAAAACAAATAATTTAAAAAAAAAACTGGGATATTCAGAAGTAATACGAGGAAAAAAATTAAAATATGTAACAATCCGCATAGAAAGTGGCACAAGGTTAATTTTCATGTGAACTGCCACTTAGCGTGGACTCCAATCAAACTAAACTTGCGTTTAAAATTAAAGAAAAAAAAAGGGAAAAAGATTTGAAAAAAGGTAAAATCATAAAACTAAATAACTAAAGTCTAAAAGAAAGTAATTAACTGGAATGCAAAAATAACTTGAAACATTAATAAAAAAATTTAATAACGTGTTTCATTGGTGACTTCGAACCATGTATTATATTCGTAATAATTTTTTTAACATCGAAGAAGAAAATATTTCGAACAACATCTATTAAATACTTTTATCAGTGAGAAACTATATATAGTGTCTTTCCAATAAATAACACAATCAAATTTTAAGAACTGAATTAAAGAAAAAAACACACAACGCGATCGCGTCAGCAACATCATCAACGGCAATAACTACTCAGACGCTAGCAGCCGCTACCCCAGCTACAATAACGTCGCTCCTGGCACATAGCACCAGCGGACAAATATTTTCCATTTTTCCTATATCTCTTTATATATTAAAATTATATTATATTATATAGGTTCTTTGCATAACTTATATGTTCATATGTATGAATTGTTAGTTACTTTATTTTTTTTTTTAACTATATTTTTTTCTTACTTTTGATGAAACAATATGTATGAATTGTTAGTCGTTTTATTTTCAATTATATTTTTTTCTTTTGATGTAACCATAGTAAATTCAAAATAGTAAATAATTTAAGTCCATTTGAGTTTTCTTAAGATATTCTTATTTAGTATTAATAAATAGAAATATATTATATATAAAATTTTGATAAAGTAAATGTGAAGACAAAATGTTAAACAAGCTAGGTCTAATTGGATTTTTTTTTGAAGATATCTGTATTGTAATATTTAGCGTGGATTATGCAAATTTTAAGATCTATCTTATTAATTATTGGTTGATAGTAGTTAAGTTTTTTTTTTACTTCGTTTTTTTTTTGTAAATATTTAAATCAGAGGAAACGTTGAAGATTTTTTTTTTGTACTGAACCCTGGTATACGCTGAGTATACCCCGGCCGCGGTAGAGGCCGGAAAGGTCGTTACAAG